TCGAATTTGGGTTGGGGCTGTTGGAGTCGGGCTTAGTTAGGCGTTCTTTTGCAGTTTTCAGGTTAGATTCTGAGGCTGTGGCTTGGTCTGTTTGGATGGAGGTCCGTTTGGCGTTGCCGTCGAGTAGCTTGGTGTAGTTTGTCTGTCGTGGGGAATATTGTGTTATTGTATTTAGTTTTCCTCGTTGTTTTATATTCGTTGTTTAGTGTCTGTGTGTTTTGTTTTGTTTTGCTTTTGTCTTTTCTCTTTATCTCCCGTTAGGAGTGTGTGTCGTGTATTCTCCTGTTGTGAGCTTTTGTTAGTCTATTCTCCCGTTGAGAGCTTTTGTTAGTCTATTTTAGTGGTGTTGTGGTAGGTTTGGTTCTAGAGCACTCGGTTGTGGGTGCCTCTCCCTATTAGAGTCAAATGGCTCTCGGATTGTATTCATGTATATATTTCGTGCTTTAATATTCTCTATTTTTAACCCCCCCACACACACACACACCATTTTGTAGTAACTGTCACATCAAACAATAATTGTTCTTCAACCGTTAAACTCATTCTCAGATTCAAAAAGAATATTCTCAAAATATTTTCTTATACATCATTTGTTATCACTTTTCAATACACATTTAATACCTTTAACAAATTTGACCCAATATTATTTTGTATTCAATTTAAATATGTTAGTTATATATATATTTTTTAGTTATTATAGATTGATGATTCGTAAGTGAAAATTATATTTTAATTATAAAACTTAAAAAGATATTCTAGAAAGTATGTTTGAATTAATTATCAATCTTTGATTAGAATGTTGATAAATTATTTATGGTACTTGTGTAATTTTTCAAGAACCATTTTATAAACATTTTCATAATTGATGGATTGAATTTATTTATTCGAAGTATTCTATGATTTTGCAAAATTTTTTTATAAATATTTTTGTTGGATTGAATTGATTATTGATCATGCATGTCTATTGTTTTTTTATTATATTACAGTCTTTCTTTTTGGTACAGGGACCTTCTGGTTTCCAGATCCACAAGGGAACCGACTAATCCGGAATCGAGCCGGGTAGGACCACAAGGGCGGCAAAG